AACTTACTGTTATTAATTTTCATCCAAAAAAATACTTAAAATACTTGCACCTAATGTCAAAAAAATAAAAACAAACCTACCGATTTCATTTTGGGAATATGCATCTTGAATTTGATGCATGCAAAAACAAATTTATATGTCTCACTAAATTTAATTTTAATAATCTAAATAATAAAAATTGAATAACTGCGTTTCACAAATTCGTATACGCTTCTTAAATTAAAAGTTAGTGTATTTCCCCGCAGATCATCCAAAAGAACACGTAAAAATCAAACAAATTTTTAAAAAACGGTTTTAAAAAATTCGAACAAAAAACTAAGTTGCAAGGTATCGTGTAACAAGCCTCAGTTAAACGTACAGACTGATGGTTCAATAGTAACGCATATGCCTCAAAGCATACCGTTTTCGAAAGCTTCTAGTAATAAGCAATTGATAAGATAATTTTAGGTAGTAGAAAGCAATACACTCATACTTATAAAAAGGATTTCTTGTATTTAAGCCACAGCCATTAACTGTTAACGAAACATCAATCCTTAACAGTCGGTGATTCAATTATTTGACAGTTATAGTATTGGAAATTACAAAAAAAAAAAAAAAATTATTATGACACGAAATGCATGTTTATAAACTATAATTAATGGCATCTTTTTTTGTCAACAAATATTTATTTGTTGTTAGTACAAAATCTCGACGTCAGGTTAAAAAACCATTAGTCAACTACAAGCAATTATTTGTATCAGTGAAAGGTTATTTGTTATCATATGATATGTTACAAATTACAATACCAGCTTTATCGTAATTAAATATTTAGCCACTAAATAAAAAATTGTTGTGTTTTAACAGCAATAAATATCGTAAAAACGTAAATTTTTATCCCAAAAAATTTATTAAGGCATGAGTTTTCAAGAATATTAATTTGTAAAAAAATTATGTATTCGTTGTTATTTTCATACATCAAACAATTAATCAAGTAAACAACTCTCGTTCATGCACTTAATAGTGACTATTAAAAGTTTCTACAGTAAAATTGCATGCAAAACGAAAATCCCACTAAAACAAAAAAAATTATTGTTCAAAAGTAACTACTGCAGTTTGAGTCCAACTGTACAAAATTGGCAGCTATGGAGGAAAGTCTGCAATTAGCGCGCAAAGTCAGTAAGTGTATGCCTTGCGAGAAAATCTAAATTGCTCTCAAAATAAAAAGAAGTGATAATATGATGAAGTAGTGGATATTTGCCGAGATACTTTTAAATGCTGTATCTTTGATTGGTAAGAATTTTCATGTGCAAGCTCTACAAAGACTAGATAAAAACTTTTTCTACCGTATTTAGTGATAAGATAATAAAATGCATCTACAGCGATATTTGCTGCAAATTAATTTACTGTTTGAAAGCATAATACATTTTTTTTTTAATTATTTCTTTATGCAAGTGAAGAGTTGATTGAAATATTGTGTAACTATGAATTTGATAGAAACTAGCATGTAATGTTAATCTATGGTATCTATTTTTGTAAGAAATATTTTAGGTAAAAAATACTTTTAAAAATCCCGAGCATTTCGCGCAGAAAGTAAGAGTATTGTACTAAATAAACCTGAAGTATTTAAAGTAACAAAAATGTATTTTTTTATAGTTTTCGCACAAAAGTTTCCGCTTGAACATTAAATTGTCATCAACTCTCTAAATTTCTGATAAATGTAACAAAAAGAAAAAAAAAAAAAAAAAAAAAAAAAAAAAAAAAAAAAAAAAAAAAAAAAAAAAAAAAAAAAAAAAAAAAAAAAAACAACAAGATTATGACAACAAGACAAATGAGCAAAAATCGATTTTGCAGAAGATTTGCGCTCAAAAATTAAAAAAACTGCCATAAAATATATGAATCTCTGGTTATACATCCCTAAGTAAAAAACACATAGACAAATTTTATTTTTTTTAAGGGTACGTAAAAAAATTAATGTACGGTCGAGGAGACGTTGAGACTGTAGGTCGAAGCAACGGTGTTGAGCCAGGAGATGATGGCGAGCTGCATGTTTCCCGCTCGAAAAGTACCGACAAACAGTACCAAAAGTAATGTAAAAACTTTGCACTATCAAAAGCTCTTTTATTTTTTTTTTTTTTTTTCCTGCGCGTACGTATTGTACTCGTGAAACCCGAGTCGCGGTGTTTGACCGACAACGCCGCCAAGACGGTATAATAGGTATAAAAGTATCGTGTATCGGATGCGAGCGGCCGAGCGCGCGTACGAGGACTGATGCTGTGGCGCTCGCAGGTGAGAGATGTCGGCGGCCCCATGGAGCCGTCCCTCTCTCTCTTTCCCTTGTTCCAGAGCCTCTCGCGTCTCTATGGAGCCGTCGGGTGCATCTCCCCCTGATGCAGAAGCTGGGCGATATCGCGCGTCGGAGCGAAAAACCGGAATGCTGCAACAACAACGCGTATACGCGATTTACTGTGTATATATACGCGCTGAGCGAACTCGAGCTTTTAACTGGTGAGTTTTGTGCGCTCGGCTCTTGCCTTAGAGCTCGTGGTTTTTGCCAATTATGCGCTGATAAACGTTGTTGTTTGGACTTTTGGCTAATTTGCCACGAAGGTCGATTAATTTGGTGATTCGTAAGTCGATTGCATATGTATATTATGTAAATGTAAATTTAATTTAGTGTATCGGCGAGTAAATCGACAGCTTTATTTGGGAATCAATCGGAGACAAGCGTCACATAATTGAATAATAACTAAAAATAGAGTTATTGATAAGTCAGATTTGAGAAAATTATTATTACGATTGGAAAACTTCAGATCGAGTTTTTTTTTTTTTTTCAAGAGAGCCAAGTTTGTAAGTAAATAACAATCTATTTTGGGAATTTTCGTTATAATAATGATGCAGTGTTATTAGATAAATTCAAGTCTTTATATTTCAAATGATGTTTTTTTTTTTTTTTAAACCTTTTAAGTTATACTAAAGTAAAAATTCCATCGATAAATATTCTAATCGAATACATAAAGAATATTTTGGATTAAAAAATAAAAATTATAATTTGTCTAAAAAAAAAAAAGTTACCTTCCCTAAAATTAAACTGATTTTATATACATTAATTGATAAAATCCCAAAGGTGTTAGGACAAGCAGAAGCAACGAATAAGCGATCATTCAAGCCTGTCTGTCAAAATTACAAGTTCGCCGCGGTGTATTAATCTTCAATGCCAAGACAGAATTGATTAATAAAAAAGTTCACTATATTATGTGGGTCAAACTAAACCAGTAGTAAGTTATAAATTTCAGTTGTGTGCGTGCACACAATACGGCAGCATGTGACGATGACGCAGATAGCACGTTGATGTCTCATGAGGAACAAATTACTTAATAAATTAGAAAAATTTATCAATTGCACGCATCATATACTTACTAAGAAAAAAAAAAAAACTGGCGAGCACAACTAAATCGTAGAAGGTGCATCTACAATGTAGAATTTTTTTTCATTGCCATAGGTGTGCTCATAAAATAGGGTAGAGGCAAAAGCCGTAGATTTCATAGTACTCTCCATGCAAGTATTAAAAAGGTGTAACTAACATAAAAATAAATTTGTAAATCAGTAGTATAACCCAAAACACTTTAGGATCATTAATTCCGTAGGATTGTTATTTCGTTGTTAAATGCATAAAAAAAGGAGGATCCAAAAAATCAGGCCAAACTTTACAATGAGCTCACTTAATCATCTTCCCCCTCTGTCATCATCGAAACATTAAAAAAAAAATCTCTTTCTCAACCTCGACGATAAAAAAAAAATTAAACAAACAAACAAGCAGTTTCTTATTTGTTTATCATAAAAATCTTGTTTTATCAGCGATAAAAAGAGCGGCATTGTCTGCTCTGTTAAACAAACACTTGGAACTCGTATAAGTTGACATAAGTTGACGCGATCGAAGGAGACACCAACGAGTACATCGGCGAGGTGACTACATCAATTTGTCCAATTTCTATTATACTCGAAAAAAACCGCGAGGCTCCCCTGCACGCGAGAGACTGCAAATTCAAGTGTGTCACTTCAACGGATCTATAGAATACATCGCTGCAACGTTGATTGGACTTAGGGGAAAAAAAAAAAATCAAATCGATCCATCAACAACCATTTATAACCAGCTCTACCCTCCTGCAGCTAATTCAACGAGCTTTTTTTGCTCAGTTTGGTCGAGCTGGTCAAATGGCTGATCTAGTGATTTTTCCAGCCCTCATCAACACACGATTGTCATGGATTTCGTACGAAGGACAGAAATTTGGTTTGAGCGTGCGCTTCACACAACACACTTGAACGGACAGTGCAGCCAGAAGCCATCGGGGGAGGACGAACCGTGTGCGAGTGCCTCCTAATGCCGAAGCTGAACTTGCGCCCGGTACCCGAGCCTCCGTCGCTCGAGGGTCCGGTGATCATGAAAGTGGGCACGTGCAGGTGGGGCAGGTGATGGTGGCAGTGCTGGTCGTCCAGGTCGTCGTTGTGCTGGAGACCCCGTAGGAAGGGCAGCCTGGCCGACCACCTGCTGGTCCTGGCCTCCCGGACGTCCTCCTCCAGGGCCAAGGCGGCCAGGGTCTCGCTGCGGAGGAGGTCGGTCGGGGCCCCGGGGAAGACGCCTACGATGCTCGGGCCGATGCTCGAGCTGATGGCCACGCTAGCTATGCTGGAGCGCCGGACGGGTGAGATCTCGGACAGCGTCCCGCGACGCGGACTGGAGTTCTCCGGTTGGTCCGATGCCGGTTGCAGATTATTTGGAATCGCGGCGACTTCGAGGCATTTGTGATGGCTAACTTGGAGGACGGTCAGGTGGTTTTTTTCCTCTTCTTCTGTTTCGTCATCGTTGGGGGGTAAGGGAGGCGTCGGGCTCACGTCGGCGGCAGCGGGGACGGTGATTTCTGCCTCCTCGGTTGCCCTGACCTCGTCCTCGTCTTCCTCCGTGATGCCGAACTTGATTTGGAAACGCTGAGACGTAAACGCTGCTTTCCGCATCGCATTATTCCTCGACGCTTTGGGGTGGATAGGCAGAGAAGGATATGGTCAATTTTTTTTTTTTTTCAGGGCTTTGGAATCGTTGTAAAAGATTGTACGTGTGAGGGGTACGTGGTTTATTTCATGGTTTGGCCGATTTTTCGTAGGGGAAGAATCAAGTGCTGAGCCATGCGGCGTTTAAAAACATAGGTATTAGTGTGTCCACCCAATGTTGCGTTTTTGCGGAGCTTGTAACCTTAATAGCTTCATGGATTTTGATGACTGAGGTGTCGTTAAATTTGTCTTGATTATGAAAGTGATATGGGCTTAAGAGTATAATTTTCAAAGTTTGGTTCAAAGAAATAATTTGTTTGCTCTTTATTGCTTCGATCGTAATAAAAACCATCTTGTTGTTTTTTCGAAACAGTCGTAGTTTTTTTTTTGTGAGTTTCAATCACGTGATTAAGGAGATTGACTAAACTCAACTAAAAACAACTAAATGTAATTTTTTTTTTTTTTTTACTACCTACAACAGTTTAAAATATTTTTTGAGCCTTGAACTTTACAAAATTAATCCAAGTCATACAAAAATACATTTAAAGCGAGTAGTTATTAAAATTCCTATTTTTTTATAACCATATATTCAGAGTAACATTCAGGGTAAGACACCTTAGATTTAGTAATCGTTTTCATTTCATGTTGAAAATGTTTTCCTTCACTCTAAAAAAAATCGCTAATAAAAATCACTGAATATTGTAGTCGATCGAAGCACTTAAGGTGTATATAAATATCAATCGAGAACTTTTCCTAATAAAAGAAACATTTTAAAAAACTACTCTAAACAACAACAAAAAAACAGGGAGATTAAGCGTATGGAAAAGCGCAGGGAAAATAATTTATTGACGAGAAAGAAACTTTGAGCTTCCATCTAAGACTCGATACATGGTAATAAGCTTCAGACTGAAATGATAAGCGAGCCAAGTGCGAAATTTGAGAATATACGTGGGCACACGAAATATGGAGCTGGAAATAATACCGTCATCTGTCGTAAAAAACCTTGGGCAAGAAATTTAGTTGCAACAGAAGTTTGATATTCACAGTAGTCGTGTTTTATCGACGCGGAAAAAATTCCTATAGCGTGATCGATTTTTCGAATCGCAATTAAAAACCACTCGTCAAACAAAAATATGCGCGCTATTGGGAAACACGGTGCGGTTTTTTTTTTTTTTAATTTCCTTTTTTTCATTCATAAACACTTTTTATTTATTAAAATTAATAATGGATTAAAAATGACTGCGGTAGATATCCTCCTTGAAATCACGTACATTTAATAAATTTAAGGTTAATGATAATTACTGACATTGAAATTTCTGAATCTAAGTGCAGTTGCTCTAATTGTTCGCACGCGGAAAAAAAATTTTAATTTGCTTGGCTATAAAACATAGTTGAAAATGATTTGGTAGTTAAATACGATATAAAAAAATTATTTGGTCAAACTGTAGTTTCATCTGCGGAAAATTAGCTATTGTCAGACAATTTGTTAGATTAGGCGAATGTCACAACCACATTTTAATTGAGCTAATCAAAATTTTTTTTTCGCCTGTGTTCAAACACTAATTTACTTCCGTATACATATATATCGAGCTAAAACAAAAAATGACGCGCTAGAGTCTGTACAAACCCTGGAAAGGGCAGCGAGTTTCAGCATTTTCTCCAAATTCCGAGACGTCATGTCATCAATTTGCAAAAATTTTACTTTTTCCCAACCATTAACACGGTGCACTGAAAAAAACTAAAAATTATGCACTCGCGAGACAAAAGCTAGCACGGCAATCGTGCCGATCGCGACGAGCGCATGGAGGGAACTAACGCGTGTGCTAGTATAGCCAACTCCGTCTTTCTTAGCTCCGTACTGCCGTTCGATGATATACCTATCGTTTTTCCCTGGAACCTTACCACTTAATAAATCACTTCGCGCGCATATATCATATATTATATGTATGTGCTCATGCGTTGCACATGTGTGTGCGTATTATGTATAACAAAGGTACACGATCGTCATTGTCTGCAAAATGTTAAACGTTCGCTATACTTACGCTACACTACGAGCCAGCACGTGTGTGCTAGGGTATATTTTTTTAAAATTTATTTTTATTTGACAACGCTATTATCGTATCGCAGTGCCGCGGTGCACCCGCGCTTTTATCGTACGGAGCGCGAGGCCTCGGTCTGGAATTCAATAAATATATAAATAGGTGAAGATCACCGCATTCTGTTTCTTTTGGCAAACTTTGTGTTTGTGTCGCGATGTGAACTTTGTCTTTGAAGCTATGGGGGTGACCTTTTTTTGGACTTAAACAAAACAAAACAAAAAAAAAAAAAATGAATACAACCAATTTCAGGTTAACATATTTTTTTTTTTAATTTAACAACAAACTACGATAAATAATTTATTATTGGAGAAAATAGATACTTTGTCCTTGCCTTGGTGTACAGTAGGAAAATCTTGTGCGTGAGCACTTTATTGATAAACTATTTAAAAAAACAAATGTTTGCATCCTTGAGTCGTTGTTGACTCGCTAATTAATTTATTAACGATTTACAAATATTGGATTCTTTGCATTTACTCCTGTCGTTCTTTATCATTCTACTAATTAAGGTCTAGATACATTTAGTCCAGCTCTACCCTCCTGCAGCTAATTCAACGAGCTTTTTTTGCTCAGTTTGGTCGAGCTGGTCAAATGGCTGATATTTATTAAGGCATGAGTTTTCAAGAATATTAATTTGTAAAAAAATTATGTATTCGTTGTTATTTTCATACATCAAACAATTAATCAAGTAAACAACTCTCGTTCATGCACTTAATAGTGACTATTAAAAGTTTCTACAGTAAAATTGCATGCAAAACGAAAATCCCACTAAAACAAAAAAAATTATTGTTCAAAAGTAACTACTGCAGTTTGAGTCCAACTGTACAAAATTGGCAGCTATGGAGGAAAGTCTGCAATTAGCGCGCAAAGTCAGTAAGTGTATGCCTTGCGAGAAAATCTAAATTGCTCTCAAAATAAAAAGAAGTGATAATATGATGAAGTAGTGGATATTTGCCGAGATACTTTTAAATGCTGTATCTTTGATTGGTAAGAATTTTCATGTGCAAGCTCTACAAAGACTAGATAAAAACTTTTTCTACCGTATTTAGTGATAAGATAATAAAATGCATCTACAGCGATATTTGCTGCAAATTAATTTACTGTTTGAAAGCATAATACATTTTTTTTTTAATTATTTCTTTATGCAAGTGAAGAGTTGATTGNTAAAATGAGATAACTAAAAAAATTACTTAATTTAGAATTTTTCATCCCTAAGTCAAGTCTTTACTAATTTTTGAAGCTGCTTAAAAATACATATAATATTGTAAATTTTTGTTAGTTTGGATTTCTCGGTTTGGATTATCATTCAAATTAACTCCATCAACAACGTACCAAGGATGCCGAATTTCCTGGAATATTGAAATAAAAGTTTTTGTATTCTTTTTACAATGTTTGTACTGTTTACGTAATAAACGACTTTTTTTTTACTTTTTTAACTAATTATTAACTTGTTACATGTAAAAAGTGACCAGGGCCCTTCGCTTAATACGACACCTGACGCATGAGCGGACCTCTCGATAAGTATAAAAATTTTTAGAATTTTTTAAATAACTAAACGAATTATTAAATTTCATGTTTTTATTTTAAAATATTTTTCAGAAAATAATATTATCATGTATTGTCGAAAACACCTTCAAAGAGATTTTCTTTATTAGGAAACTTAGGTACTAATGTAATTACTCAAAAAAATATAACATATGATATATTTATTTATGAAAGTATTTTATCATATGCAATTATGCAATAATATTGAACCATTTCGAAGGCAGTTGTTTGTGACAATGTCTACGTGGGGTAAAATAAATTTTTCATAGAATTTTCGTCTACTGTCTAGGATGGTTTTGAAATGCATTTCATGTGAAAAATATCATACATACATATAATTTTTTTCGCTGATAACTTTAACATAAGACAACTGTAAGTGGCGATGGGCTCAAAAAGACAAATTAGCGTCACTTGAGCCAATTGGATCGCTTGGCAAACTAAAGTAAGACGAGCGCCTCATGCTGCTGCGTCTAGTTAATATCAAGCATGGCAGAATGAACCGCGTCATAGTTACTTATTTGCCGAGGCAGATACCACATGCGATCGCTGACTTTGAAATACAAAAACGTTTGCTCGTGGCTCGTGGCGATTCACAAGAATAAAGAAGCATAAACGATACGCATGCGCACATGTATATCATAAAATGATATCGTATTAGTCATTCGGTCACGCGTCTGGAATTTTTTTTTTTTTTTTTTCAAGTTTAGAAAATAGTTTTTGTGCGTATATTTTATAAACTAGTAACCATTCTTAATCATTTTCAGAGTACGAAAACATACACATTTTTTATGGAATTTTAATAATATTATGAAACTTTGCTTTCTTTTTTTTATAAAAAAGACCAGTGACAAAAAATATATAGAAATATTAAAGTTACAGATACAATTGTTACATAAAAAAAAATTTACAAACATATTTGTAAGAGACAATCGCTTATTTTATTTGACATACAACGAAAACGTCAGTGATTTATAAGTGAAATAAATTTAATAGGTGTCAGTAAACGGCTTAAAACAAAAATACCTTAAACCACTGCCTATGAAGCTCGCTATTTAAAGTGCTGTTTGTGCAGTCTCCGTCAATATATAAATAAGATTAGCTAGTTGACACGATC